AACTCCCACAGGTACCTCCCCAATTGGGCTGGGAAAGAGCCAAAAATGTTGGGAAAGTCTCCCTCGACCTGCCAGGCAGCAAAGTCTGACCACTGCTGGGCTAAGCACTGCCAGGTGGGTGGCCAGGGAGTGAGCAGAGAAGCATCTTGGAACTCAGCCACCAGCGAGGGGGATGGAGTATGCGGGGCTCCCGCAAGCACCCAACCAGTTGGGCTAAGGGAGGGCTAGGGAAGTGTCATTCACCTGCCCTCTCCTGTGGAGAAAGCTCTGTCCAATCCTCACCCCTCTGGTACCCTTCCTGCTGCTTTCAAACTACCACCTCTGTGTTGAGTCCCAGAGGGGCCACCTGAGCATGCCTGTCTTCTATCAGCAGCAGGATCTCAGTCTCCCAGAGTGCTCCAACTCTTTGTGGTGTCCAGCCCTGCTAATCACCAAAGCCCAATGCAATGTGGACTCATGTTCCCAGAACAGATCTCCAGGACCAGGTGTGCAGAGTTCCTGAGTGCTCATCCCCTCCCCTCTCTGTTCCTCTTCCTCCCACTTGTGGGCTGGAATGGGGAAAGGGCTTGGGTTCCAACTGATGATGGCTCTACCACTTTTATCTTTCTCTGTGTAGTCTTCTCTTCTTTACCAGGTGTTGGTGGGCTGTTCTGTGGTCTTCAGGTCACTTTCAGGGTTTGTTTTATTTGCTGTAGTTGTTTCCTTGGTGTGTGTGTGGCGGGGAGGGATTTTCATTTTGTCTTCCTACTCTGCCATCTTTTTTCCCCCTCTCTCTCTTTGAGCATCTTGTTTTTGAACTTTGGCAACATGCCATTTTTTCTCTCAAAAATCTTACAGGGATTTTGATTAGGGGAAGAATCAAGCATAAAATACATTGAGTCTCCCCACTCAGAAATACAGTATGTCCCTAAATTTATTTATTCATGTCTTCTAGGCCCCTGAAGGAAATGCTGTTTTTTAACCCTCATAGATCTTACATATTTCTTGCCAAGTTTCTGCCTCTTACACTTTGCTATTTTGGATGGGGTCTTTTCTTGCAATTTTCCAACTAGTATTTGGAAAACTATCAATTTTATTTAGTTCTTTTTTTAAAAATTTAATTGTATGTTTGTATGTATGTATTATTTATTTGTTTGTTTGTTACTATGGTATCATTAATATACAATCACATGAGCAACATTGTGGTTACTAGATTCCCCTCATTATCAAGTCCCCACCACATACCCATTATAGTCACTGTCCAATAGCATAGTAAGATGCTATAGAGCCATTACTTGTCTTCTCTGTTCTTCTATTTATTTTTATGTTTTATACTTAAAAAGTATTTTATGTGTATATTTTATTCAGCAACCTCTTGTTTGAATATTTTTTAAGTGATTCTCAATTTTTTTTCAGGTAGATCATAATCAAACCATATAAAATATAATATTCTTTTTCTTTCTAATATTTATAATCTTAAATAAGGAAAGCAATAGACTCTGAGCTAGAGAGAATTCCAGCTTAGTAATTTCTTAGAGGTATAAGCCTGGACAAATTATTTGAAAAGAATGTGCATTCATATTTGTAGATTAAAAAGTTCAAAACACATCATTAAATCAAACTCATTGATTATATTATTTAGACCCTCTATCAACACTACTTGACCTTTTTTGGGTCAGTGACTCTTTTAAAAGTGAAATTCTAAATTACAGGTTAGAGCTTTGAATCCTATCTCCTCAAGAAAAAGGATACATACAACAAATATTTTTATCTAATTATCTATGAGGCATTCATGAATCCTCTGGACGTCCCAAAGGCCACTAATCTACTTGATTAGAAATACAAGGGAAAGTGTCTCAAATTATATCAAACACTTTTAAAGAGACTTTTCTATGTTATATTTTTCAAAATGCTGAAAAGTCTTCATTTTTTAAATCTTCACTGAAAATTACTACTTTTGTCAATATATACTAGGCCTTTTTTTCCAATTTGATTATTTTATACTTATTCTTATTTGGAGGGACTTCTCATATGCCTAATGGATTTTTGCCCATCTGTTTTTCATTTATCTGTAACTCTGTGTTAGGTATGCCATTTACTTACTTAGCAGCACATACTTAGATTTTATAGAGGAATTCTCACATGGTTCAACAAACATTTACTGAATGTGTATTACTTGCCAGACACCTTTAGTCCATTCAGATACACTGTAAGAACAGATCTGTTTGGTCTGCTAAGGAATTTCAAAAATAGAAATCTTAAACCATCTACAAAATTCTAACCACCATGATGGGCAGTGACTGTAATGGGGTATGTGAAGGGGACTTGGTGATGGGGGGAGTCTAGTAAACATAATATTTCTCATGTAATTGTAGATTAATGATACAAAAAAAAATTTTTTTAACCATCTTAAAACTTCCTGTGGCTTCTCAATGTCTGAACAATCAAGTTCATTCTAATTTGCGTGCTATGAAAGGCTCTTGTGATGTGTTCTGATTTCCTTTCAGTCTTGTCTTCTGTTATTCTCTAACCTGCTATCCTATATCCACTTCAGCCCCCTCTACATGCAGTTCTCCACTTACCATCAGGCCTTTCACAAAATTTTGTTTCTCTACACCCGGAATTCTTTCCCCTTCTCTATTCATCCTTCAGGATTCAGTTGAAAGACCCAGGACCTTCACTGACACCATCCCCACACATCACTGCTTTATTCCTCTTTTTAGACACTCATTTCAATTGCCTACAAAATATCCTACCTGACTATCCCATAGCCTTCTCACATGCCCAAAACTGAAAATATCATCTCCCCACAAACCAACTCATCCCTGCTTGTTACCTACCTCAGCAAATACCACTACCACTTTTCCTCTTGCTAAGTTAGAATCCCAAGCACCATACTTGGCTCATACATTTTGTCACCTTGTCCTGCTAATTCTATTTATGAATTTCTCTCACATTCATGCAGTGATCTTTATCCTTCCTGCCTCTACCTACTTAGGCCACCTATATGTCTAATGCAGATACTAACTTCCTACCTACTTCCTACATACCTCCCTATACCTTCAGTCTTAATTTCTTCTGCAATCCATCCTCCACAGGCTACTAGAATACATCTGTGTAAACATAATTGTGAACATGTATTCCCGTTTTAAAATGTAGTAGACAAGGATGAGGGTAACTTGAAGACACAAGAACCTTCCACACCATGTCCTTAAAATAAATTCCAAATTCCTAAGTGAGTTTTATAAAGTACTGCAAGCACAATCCTCCCCAGCCTCATCTCCCATCATTTGTCCACCACATCCTAGGCACACTCAACTTTTCCAGCTCCCTTACTACTCAGTGCTCTTTGCATATGCCGCTCCCTCTGCCTGTAATGTTCTTCTTTCTACCTGGCTAACACCCACTCATTCTTCAGAACACAACCAAGACACCATTTCTGTTTCAATTATTCTCTAAACCACAAAGTCAGGATTGGCTCCCCCTTCTAAGTGATTCCATTATTCACCCCACTGATCCTGTCACACTGACAGGTTAACTGCTTGTTTATTTTTCCACTTCCTCCATTAGTGCATGAAATTCCAAATATGGCAGTTACTATGTCTTTCTTGTTTATTATGGCTTTCCTAGGACTTAGCACAAAACGGTTAATCAATAGATATGTGTTAAATAATTATGTACAATAATAGGTACAGAGAAGAAACAATTAAGAACAAAACAGTATCTGCCCTAAAGTGATTTGGATAAACAAATACCCACATATATAACTATGAAATAAAGATTTAAGAACAATGGTAGGGATGATCTAAACAAAGAGAAAAACGAATTTGATCTCTTATGGGTAGTGATGGGATGATATATCAATCTCTTAGGAATGATCACCAAGATAAGGGGTCAAAATATTTAGAGTATACAAAGGAAATACTAGAACTCTTATTTAAATATATATTTAATTTGTTTTGAAGAATGTTTTCTAATGTGTTTAATATAACAACATGGTATAGTACAAGTATTCATATGAGGGGCTGTGCTCACCTTTTTACTGAGAGGAATAAACAAAAAAGCTTGGTAACCACAGTTCTAGGACATTTAATCTTAACTTCCGTGTATTCAGTACAGGTGAGGGAGAGGGGGTGACCAGAGATGATGAATCTGATGAAATCTAAGGATAATCTCCCAGAAAAGTGAATATAAATGTGTTTTTAAAAGACTTTTATATTATTTCTAGAGTATTTTGGACCTCAGGTTAAATCCTGCCCTGGGACTCCCATTTCTAAAGCCAAAAAGAGACTGCTAGGAAGAAGGAAAAGGTTAGCAAAATGCCTCAAGCCCTTTGATCCTATTATCTTTATTTTCTCTCTTCTCCATACACCCTGCTCCTCCTTCCCATTGTTGAATCACAACTTTCCCTAGACAGGTTTGGAATTTTCAGTCTCCTCTGTAATTTTCACAGAGTTTAGGAATACAGTTAAAGATTTCCATCTTAAGGGTATAACACACACACAAGTTATTCCCACACCATTATCACAGTTTTTGCCATTTCCTGAAGCTCTCACACTATTATTCTAATTTTTTTTAAACAAATTTTTAAATTAAATTTAGTGACACCCTAAATAGTATCTGTGTAGTTAGTCTGATGTCCTGATTATTACTTTTCTACCTCATGTCAATATAAACACACACTTAAAATAAGGACTTTAGACCCTCAGCAGCACCAAGTTTTAAAGCACAGTCCTGAGGTTTCTGCAATTACTCTGAGCTCTGTTGGGTAAGCAAACAATTTGGACATCAGCAGTTTTTTAAAAATCAGAAATAAATTTAAAAGTATCTGGTCCAATCCTCTCCTTTTATAGATTAAAAAGCTGAAACCTGGAGAAGTTAAGTCATTTGCCCAAGGTCAGATGAAAAGTTAGGATTAGTATTTAGGTCTACTATCAGTCCAGTACACTTTCTACTACATTATGTCTATTCATATTACACTAGAATAATATAGTATCAAGAATTCTTCATCTGTTACCTACCTCACTCTTCCATTCAGATTTATCTGAACATGCTGCTTAAAATCTGGATATTTGGATGCCAGATATGCAAAGTCAGGAGGTTTGTCCTTGTATCTATTTCTTGCATGCATTGATTTACTCAGAGCCATCTTTAAAAAGAAACAAAGAAAAAAATTAGCATATTTACTTAAAAACACATTAATGGGGAAAAACTGTGGCCGCCAAGTCAAGAGTTACAGATGATACATCTTTGCCAAAGAAGTGAGAAAGTAGAAGCTATATTTTTAAAACGTCCCCAACAAATAAGCACATGAAAAGATGCTCAACGTCATTGGTCATTAGGGTAATGCAAAACAAAACCACAATAAGATATCACTTCATACTCACTAGGATAGCTAAAATTAAAAACGAAGATAAACACTGTCAGTGAGGCTGTAAGGAAACTGAAGCACTCATGCATTGCAGGTGGGAATGTGAAACAGTACAACTACTGTGGGAAAGTTTGTCAATTCTTTGAAAAGTTAAACATAGAATTACCACATGTTCCAGCAATTCCACTCCTAGGTATATACCCACAAGAATTGAGCGCGGGGATTATTCAAACACATACTTGCACACCAATGCTCACAGAAGCATTATTCACAACAGCCAAAAAAAAAAAGTAGAAATCACCAAATGTCCATAATCAGATAAACAAATAAGATGATGTAGTATATACATACAAAATATTATTAAGTCCTTAAGAAGAATGGGAATTCTGATACATGCCACAACATGGAAGAATCTTAAAAATATTGTGATACAGGAAATAAGCCACATAGAAAAGGGCAAATATTGTACTGTCCCGCTTATATGAGATACCAAGAATAGACAAATCACACAGAGAGAACAGAGGCTCCCTGGGATGGAGGGAGGGAGGAATAGTGAATTATTTAATGAGAACATAGTTTCTGTTTAGGATAATTAAAAATTTCCAAAATAGATAGTGGTGATGGTTGCACAACACTGTGAATATATTTAATGCCCGGGAATGGTACACTTAAAAATGGTTACAATGGAACCATGTTGTTTTTCATGTGAAACCTTCTTAAGAGTGTTTATCAATAATACCTTAATAAAAAAAAATTGTATAGAAAATAAAAATAAAATAAAAAAATGGTTACAATGGTAAATTTTATGTTTTGTATATTTTATCACAGTTTAAAAACATACACAACGTATGATGAATTTTTGTTTTAAACCAAGGGAGGGAAACTGAAAACTATTCCTTCAAAAGGATTGAAGTGGCAGAAAGCAGTATAATCCATAGCCAACATGATTATAGTCAGAGGTTGATTTTTACAGTGATCTTGTGTAATTGGTAGAGCATGATAAAGTCAATGAAGTTTCAAAAAATTATTTCTGTTCCCATTTCTTTTATAAACTTCAATCTTATCACTCCTAGGCAGCTAAAACCAAATGAAAACAAATATTGTCTTCTTCCAGACTACAGAGAGGAAAAAAGTTAACACAGTTATAACAAAAACAAAAACTGGACAAAAAGGCATTGTAGTGGTTTAGAAAATTAAGTAGTTGTAAAATATTTTAGTGTATATCTTTGGGTGGTAAACGATTTTTACTCTCTTCTTGATATCATTCTGTATTTTCCCCTTTTTTAAATAGGGACATTCATCTTAACTGTATTATGTAAGCCAGAATCCTAGGGGTCACCTGATAATCCTCTATCCCTTTTATATCTCAAGAAATCCAGTCATGTGGATTCTACCTGCTAAAAATACCTCTCATATCCACCTATTCTTCCCTATCTCTACTATTATCAGCCCAGTACAACTTACATAGACTGCTACAAGAGCCTCTTAATTGGTCTCCCTGAATCCACCTTATTCTTTCAATTCCTTTTCCCACCTTGCAATGATAATTTCTAAACATAAATTTCATAAGTTCTACTCCTAGGCCTACTTGTTCAAAAACCTCACTCTTAGGATAAAAACAGAAACTGTCCCTTCAGCATACATGTAGGCCCAACAGGACGGAGCCATACCTGTTTTTTCACCATCAGCTTATATCATACCCCACTTGCTCTTCTGCCTGTCCTTGTACTCTTGCAGTAGGGTTTTTACACACCTTACCCCTTTGTCTATAACGTTCTTCCCTCTCTCTTCATCTAAAGAATTCCTACTCATTCTCTCTATCACAGTTCAAGCACCTCTTCTTCATTCAGGAAGGTCTTCTTTCCCTCATCTCCCAAGTTAAGACTATCATAAAGTCTCCTGACAACAAGCACCTTTCCTTTGCAGGCTTTGTTAGAGATGTAATTTGACATAATAATGAATCTGTCAACACTCTGTTTCAGGTTTTCTGACAGCTTTCTACACCGGAAATTTAACAACCATTTTCCACAAAGAATTGTCATCTTCACCCTAGACCTCTCCAAATCATACATCCAACTCCCTACCTGACTTCTCACTTGAATGACTCAAAAGTACTTCATGCATGACATGTCGAAAATTAAATTATTTCGACCCATCCCAAAATGGTCTTCTTTTAATCTTCCCTAAGTTGCTGAATAACACCACTATCTTTCTTGTGGCACACAAACCAGAAATCTTCAGCACCTTCTACACCCTGTGTTCTCCATTCCAAACACACCATGTCCTGAATATTCTCTATCTCCTAACTATTTCTTGACCCTACCTAATTTTCACCTGTCACAACTCCACATCTTTAGCCCAGATCATTATCGTATCTCTTTGGGATTACTGTAACAGCCTCTAACTGATCTCTCTATATCCACTCTTGCCCCTGCAATTCACTTTTCACTTGGAAGACACGTCTTCCCTACCCCCTGCAAATCTGAGCATTCCTCGTGAAATCCCTTCAGTGGTTTCCTAAAGCTATTAGACTAATAAATCCACAATCATTAACAAGGAATACATAACTTAGGCCTTGCTTATCCCTCCAATCTCATTCATTGCCACTTTCCTCTTCTTGCACTATGCTTGAGACCTACTCATCTTCTTTCACTTCCTCTGCTACATCATGATCTGCCCCACCATCTATTATTCTTACTGCCTAAAAGATTCTCCTCACCCTCCCATCATCCCTTCACCTCTGAAGGCCCACTTGTCCTTCAAATCACACCCTGAGCATCATTTTCTCAGGCAGGCTTTCTCTGACATCACACATCCAATCACATACCCACTCTACATGCTTTCAAAGTACTCTGTGCTTTTCCCTCAGAGCACTTTAATTTACATTTCTCTCTCTCTCTCTGTCTGCACTGCAACCACGTCCATCTTATTCTTCACTACACCCCCTAACAACTGGCATACAATATTTGTTGAATAAATGAATAATTCAGATTTGGGAGAATTAACAATAACTTGGAAGTTTTTCAGCACATTAAGTTATCACCTTTTGCTCCTCACATTATCACAGAAACTCGCCACATACAAGTTTTAATTTCCTAACATTAACATACCTGTTACAGACTATCAGGAAAGAGGGGAGCATAAAACTAGGACAGGAACCAATCCCCCAGAAAAAGTTGAAAAGGAAAATGCTTGCCTATCTTGTGATTCCAGCAAGCAACAAAAAAAGAAAGGCACTCTAACAGTAACTTCAAGACACACTGGTATGTTAGGGCTCTGCAACACATTAAGGTTCAGACTACATAGCTGACATCAGTATGCACACATAACACTCTGAACATAACGGAACTCATTAAATTACAGATATGGCAGATTCATTTCCTACATTAATCAACCTCTCTGGACAGAAACAGATGCAGAATGAGTCAATACAGCCATTTCTTAGGAAACCAAGCTCTAATACAGGAAATGGTGCTCTTAGCTAAATCTATTTCATTCCTCAAAATTTAACTGAGGGTCAGCTCTTACCTGGCATCAGCATTGTCACTCCCTGCTTCTCTTTAATCTACTTTTTTCTTCCTGGCTCATTCTGTTCTAGCCAAATTGGCTTCCTGTTTCTCTATCAAGTTTGGTACACTACTGCCCCTGGGCTTTTGTACTTGCTGTTTGGTATGCATGGACTGCTCTTTCCCCAGAACTACAAACATACATGGTACCCTGTCCTTGTTCAAATTTTTGACCAAATGTCACCTTCTCCTTGATGCCTTCCATGAGTACCTCCACTTAAATGTTCAGTAAGTGAACACTCTCATCTCCTTTAATAGCTTTAGTCTTTCTTCTACACATAACTTTCTCATCTGACATTCCATGTATGTTACTTATTTTTTTTAATCTGCCCTGCCAGTAAGCTCCTGAGGCGAAATATTTCTTGCTCACGCGATATCCCAACACCTAAGTACAGGGCCCAGGAGAGTAGCCACTGAATAAATATTTATTGATTAAAAACAAAATGCAAGTCGTTTCACTGCCCAAGCCACTGAAACACAGAACTCTCATTCTCGGGAAACAGTCCTCATCTTGACTCAAAACAGAGCAGCCCTGGGGCTGGAGCTTTTTCTTCCGGGTTACCCTAGTCTGTCCAGAAAACCAAAGCAGTAGATCCTTAAGGCTGAGTCTTCGACTTTCTTTGATATTTCCCACCTCTGTGCTGTTTCCTTGGTTTCTCCTGACCTCAACTGCCCTTTATCTTAACACTAAATAGTCTAAATTCTGCTTTCAGAACTTCGAATTCCTTCTGCACAGATTCCTACCACTCCAATCTCCGTTTTCTCCTGTCGTCTTCCCTCATAAATCTGAATTCTTTCCTCCAATTTCGCCACTGCTAGTTCTCCATCTCTTCCACTCCTTCCACAACCTCATCTAACCCACTCAGTTTGTCTTCCCGCCTCAATTTCGCATCTCTCAAAACCTCCTCAGAGCCAGAGTGTCTTCCAACTTCAATCCTAGTCCCCATTCTATTCGCCAGCTCCTCCCACCGACCCCACCACAGCTCCAGTACACATACACACATACGCCACCCACCCACCCCGTCGGGTCTCTCTCCCCAGGCCCCTAAATCAGCACCTCACCGGCACAGAACCCGAGAATTAAAGCACCTCGGAGAAACCTGACTTAAATGACCTCGCAACCCGCGTAAGAGATATTAAGTGACGCACCTCCGAGGTCAAACTTCCCGCCAGATGACCGAGCTACAATGGGGCTCTAAAGCCCCAAAATCTTAAGCCACCCGCAGCGCGAAGCTCCTAGAAACGCAGATGATACGCTCCCAGCGCGCCGCCATCTTGGGCAGCCATCCAGCCTTGTGATTGAACGAGTCAGTCTCGCGCGACCTGTAGCGGATTCCGAAGAAAGAAGAAACTCTCGCGAGACCTGAACTTGGCGGTTTCGTCTGACAGAGGGAGTGGGTATGGAAGCCAGCGGTACTGTTTTCGGGCAGGGAGGCCCCCGCGTTAGAATCTGCTAGGAACTTGTGTTCTTTTAATGTAATTTTTTTTATGTATGTCCCCGCTACAGGCGTACTAAATGATTCTCTTTGGGGTTTTGGGCTGGGAATATGGGGGTGGCGGAGGGAGGGGGCTTCTGTTTTTGACGGTTGGCAATTAGCATTTATAGTGGAACAGGACTCCTGTGATTTATGATTTCGTCGTCACCGATAAACCTGTGAGGTGAGAAAGAGTAGCCCAATTTACAGAGGAAGAACTGGGCATCACAAATATTAAGTCGTTTCTTCAAGATCCTACACCCAGATGATAGCATGTCCTAGTTCTTTTATTTTCTCATCATCCTTTTGAGCTAGAAGCTCTATTACGTGCAGTTCGTATTTTTTTTCAACTCTGTTATAGTAATTTTCATCCTCTGGTAAGTAGAGTGGGCATCAGCCTCCCCATTTTACAGCTGAGAAAAAGGTAAATTACTTTCAAAAGGCGTGCAACTGGTAACAAAACTAGGGCTAAAGTGAGCCTCTGTACCCCCATCTAGTATCTCTTTCAATTAAAGTTTGCCTAGGTCTAGTAATTAATGTGAAAGCTTCTGGCATACTATTGGAGTAAGGAATGGAGACTTCAGCTTTAAGCGGAACCCAGTGTACCAGCTATCACCCAAGGAAAGATGAGGAAGTATTTTCATTACCTATTGTGTAACAAACCACCCTAAAATGTATAACTTGAAACAAGAACCATTTTCTTTTCTTACTGTTCTGCAATCTGGGCTGTAATAAGCCAGACCATTTCTTCGGCTGTCCTTGCTGTTGGTTGTAGCATCAGCTGGTGGCTTCTTGTTCAGCTGGAATAACTGGGCCTCTCGGCCTGTCCTCTTTCTCCATGTGACCTTTCCACATGATCTCTCCAGCAGAGTAGCCATACTACTTACACGTTGGCTCAGAACTCCCAAAAGGACAAAAGCGGACAATTCTAAGCCTTAAGGCATAGACCAAGAACTGGTGCTTTCATGATACTCTGTTTGTTCAAAGGGCCAGCCAAGATTTAAAAGCAGGAAACTATGCCAGAGTATCCTCCAGTACTGGAAGCAATGGTTCACTGGGTCTAATATAGAGAATACCACAGAAGGTTTTCTGTCTTTAGCAGGTAGTGACTTTGGTGCTAGTTATTTTTACAGTATTTAGTGCTTGCTTCTGGAAAGGTCAAAGAGAAAATGGCCTTGGAGATAAGACTGGTAAGGTTGAAAGTAGATTGTGTTTAAGATGCTGGTGAATTTCTCTGTTAGCTACAGAGGTCTAACTCTCCTGTGGGTAGAAGCAAAAAAGACCCTACCTCCACAGCAAGGGAATTTGTGCTTTAATCCTGCTCCCACCACTTACTAACTTTGTGACTGTGGACTATTATTCAAGCCTGGGTTTGCACAATATTGCAAAACTGAATTAGTTAATCACATAGGGTTGTTGTGAGAATTAAATCAGACAATGCATAATGCAGTTTCTGGCACATTGTAAGCTATTATTTTCTACTATTATAAATTTTCTGTTTAGTTTCCCTCTTTTAAAAATTATTTCATAAAGATAAAACACATTCATTATAGAAAATTTGTTTTAAAAAAATAATACAGGAAAGTATGATAAAGCAAAAATTATCTAAAATTTCACTGCCTAGAGCCAATCACCATCAAATTTTGGTAACCTTACTTCTAGACCTAAATATTCATAAAGCTATAAAATGAAATAATTTTTATAGAAATAGTGTTATATACTGTGTATATATATTTCCCACACACACATACATTTAAGTCTTGGAGGTTCTCCTACTTCAGTTAATATAGTTCTATAGTATCTTTTGTGACCAGTGCATAGTATTCCATTGTATGGATATGCCACAATTTTTTAAATTAATTTTGCTATAGGTGGACATAGGTTGGTCTGCTCCTAAAATTGATAAATACAATGATAATACTTTTTTTTTCACATAAAATGAAAACTGTCTAGAGACTCTACAAAATAGATTAATAAGATATAATATCTGTCTCTTAGGGTTTTCTTTCTGATTTGCCCTCAAATCCCTAAGAATTTAATTTCATAGAAGACTGACCAACTTTTGTGCCTCAACAAAAATGGTCTAGGAGTCCAATTAGTCAATTACATCCTTTGTTTCTTCCTGCCTTTTTGACGTAGGAAACTGATTCTGCACATTCAATGAGTAATTGAATGAGCCTCCATCCCATGCTCCCAGAGTCAGGGGCCAGGCAGAGTGGGGGGTACCAAACTCTGACGTGTACAGTCTGGATGACCTTTAGCTTTCCCTCTCATCTGCTAGTTCTGACATATTGTGTAACTGATACCAGAACTGCTTTCAGAGCATCAGACGCCACCTGGGCTGAAATCAACCCTTTAGGACATCAGCCTAGACTCCCACTTTACTGAAGTTAATCATTTCAAAGACCTTTTACTCATCCCTGCCACTGAGCTTTGGCCAGGGCCAGCCAGTCAACATCCACAGGTTCCTCTAACAATGTCTCAGGGAGCAATGATTAAGTATCGATTCCTTCTAGCCCAGAGGAGCCTGGATTTCTTATGTAAATTTATCTATCACCTGCTTAGGGACCAAGTTATGTCAGAGATCTAATGGCTACCTTAATGAAATCACAAAAGCTATTCCCTAGTTTCAGAATAATGGTTGTTCCTCAGCCTACATTTACACAACTGAGAGAGCTATTCAAGCAATGTTTTACACTTAACACACCGTATTTTTCTTTATAAGCAATGCTGAATTCTTTCAAAAACTTGAAAAGTAAATTTCAGAAACTTAATATAACTCATGGAAGAACTGTATATAAATGTACATCTGACTACCCTCTCTCCTGTTCCCATAAAACAGCAGATAATAAATTCATCTAGGACTAGAAACCCAGAAATAGTGCCATTGAGAGACCAGAAAATTTGAGGGTACTCTAAAATAGGACACAAATAGAAATAACAATTAAAATACCAAGAAGTTTTTATGCAAAACCACATTTGATTTTGAAATTTATGTGAAAATCAAAATGTTCAAGGATAGCTAATAAGAATGTTTTCTAAGTGGAAAAAATTAAAATTACAGTATAAATGAATATGTGGATAATAAACAAAACAATTATAACCAAAATCAGCTATAGAAGTATTAGAAGAATGTTGTGATAAATTTAGAGTAGGAAGGGACATCTAAAGACAAAAAAATCCATAAAGGAATGATTGCTAAATTTGATTATATAAAAATTTTAAAAATTTAATAAAAGATACTATAATAGACAAACATGGAGAAAATATTTTCAATATAACAGGATTAATAAGATATTTATAAACAATGAGAATTGAATATTAAAATAAGCAATGGATATAAAGAGGAAGCTCATAAAAGAGCATATACAGTTGATGAATGAACATATATGAAAAAATGCTCATATGCCTTAGTAATCATGGAAAGACATAGTAAAATAATTTAAATATGCCATTTTAAACATGTCAGATTAATAAAAATAAAACATTGATAGCATCTGATGATGGCAAAGCTTAACTGTGTTAGCTTTTGCTGCATAACCACCCTAAAACATTATTTACTATAATTATAATTATTACTATGACACATATTATAATTATCCCTCAAAATGCAGTACATCAGCTGGGCAGGTGTTCTGGTCTATCTGGGCTGGTTCAGCTGACCCCTTAAGTTTGCTGGAGTTACCTGGGTCTTGAATTGTGTAAGGTGACCTTACTCACATGGCTGGTAGTTGGCAGGGTGATTAGAGTATGGGTTAGAAAACTACTGCTGGTAGGCTAATTCTGGTCATACCTATTTATTTACATATTTTTTATGGCTGCTTTCTATACAACAGCAGAGTTCAGTAGTTGCAAAAGAGACCATATACCCCACAAAGCTGAAAAGTATTTACTCTTTAGCTCTTTACAGGGAAGTTTGCCAATCCCTAGTCTAGGGAACATAAACTGAAATAGTTCTGTCTCTGCTTCACATAGTTTCTCACCCTCCAGTAAGATAGACTGGGTTTTTTTCACATGGCAGCAATATCCCAAGAGAAAGAAAAAGTAATCTACAAATAGCTCTCAAGGCCTTGGTCTACCCAAATGCAAGGAGTAGAAAAATAGCCTTCATTTCTGGATGGGAGAAACAGCAAAGAATCTGTGACCAATTGCAATTTACCAAAGTGAGTAAAAATACCTTTTTTGAAGGATCATTTGGCAATATATGTATTAAAATCCAAACGATCCATCTCCCAAAATAAGGGACCCAAGGAAGACAACACCAAGACATATAATACTTAAAATCGCAAAGATCAAGGACAAGGACATGGTACTAAAAGCATCCAGAGAGAGAAAAAGATGACATACAAAGGAAATTCCATTTGGCTGCCATCAGACTTCTGAGCAGAAACCTTACAGGCCAGAAAGGAGTGGCATGAGATATTTAATGTAATGAAACAAGAGCCTCGAACCAAGAATACTCTACTCAGAAAGATTATCATTTAAATTTGAAGAAGGGATTAAACAATTTCCAGATAAGCAAAAGCTGAGAGAATTTACCCCCACAAACCATCTCAACAGTGTATTGTGGAGGGACTGCTATAGATAGAAGTGTTCCTAAGGCTAAATAGATGTCACCAGAGAAAATAAAACCACAGTAAAGGAAGGAGACTAATTACTAAGTAAACACAAAATTAAATACCCACAAAGTCAGTCAAGGAATAAACAAATAGTACAGAATATGACACCTAATATATAAAGAGTGGTGGAGGAAGAAAAAGAAGGGAGGAAATAAAAAAAGATCCTTTAGATTCTATTTGAAATAGCATAAT